TCGGTCGGGCCCAGGTCCTGAATAATGCATGAAATTTGTTCCCCGAAATCGAATCGCGACGCGACGGCGGCACGACGGACAAGAGAGCGGGCATAAATCTAAATAATTTCAACCCTCGAATTTTTATTATTCCTATGACTACGATGGCACATGCACGCGTGCACGCATCCCCGTCCTCTCGTGTCCCGTTGAATATGCATGCGCGCCGCGTTTGCCACACTTTACCCAGGAGTGTCGGACTTTTGTGTGCAACTACTCCTCGACTCCTCCCAGCCGCGCGCGACGCGGCCTATGTCTTGCATCGACTCGCACAGCCTACCGATACATACAAAGTACAAACTCGTTAGCATTGCCGTTACATCTCGCAGACAAGAGCGTAATGTCACATGGGGGTTTATCAAGTCCGCCGCTATTCAGTGTTTTGCCGGATTTCAAAACGTGTAATGTCATGAGTCGTACAGTTTGAGGATCGGTAACATGTAAAGATACCTATATACATCATACTAGATATTTAGATATAAAAAATACCCAGCGAAAAAAAATCTCTTACTCTGTTTAGAGAATAAGAAATTTTAAATTAGGCATTAATGATGGAGTACGAATGAAGTCTTTTGTCACCTCTCCCCCCTCACCTCCAACATCATGATTATCGTAAGATTTCATTTTCAATGTAATACTGGCGAATACCATTACCACAGAAGCTTTAAAGTAGCGCGACGCCGCGCCGCGCCGTACCGTATCTTACATCTACATCTAAAGGAAAATGTAATAACTGAATTTTTGAACAGAGAAGTTAGTCATTACTCACTCGCGACGGATCGCGATAAATCACAGAAGGAATTAACGAGCGGCGAAGATGACACTTGGTCCCCTCCTCGTCTCGTCTCATCCTTTTCCTTCGTTTTCATCGTTTCCAGCCCCACCGCACCAGTGAAATATGGCCAGCAACTTTTCTCATACTTGAGAGTTTTCCTGAGCGCGGCGCATCCCACCGCCGTACGATATCGTTCCGAAGAACGACGAGGAGACGAGGATGAGAGCAGGAGAAGGGAGAGAGGGGGGGGGGGGAAGTTATCAAGTGTTGGCCGGATGAGTGCTATAAGGTAACACTGCGAGGTGAGGGGAAAAAAAAGATACATCTCTTCGACTAATGTTACAACTTGCAGGTACAAAGAACAATCGAGAGAACTTTTCTTTTACACATATCGTTACCTTCCTTTGTGATTGTCTTATTCAAAAATTATTATTCTTATCGGTATAATATGATCAGGAAAAACGTGTATGCGTGAAAATTATTATACATATGAATATGCCTCTCTACAATTGTAATAGAGATAACTAAAAGAGAATTTTTGAAAATAATTTTTAAATTCTCAAAACTCTAATGTGATAAATTATTAAGAAAATTTTAATCTCGTAAAGAAAACAATTTGCTATATAGAATAAAGTAGGTATCAATTTTGTAAATTTTTATTTCTTCATAATACTGCGTGATTTCGATATTTTCAACTATTCTTATTCTAACTGTTAGACATACGTCTCGCATAACAATTTTATTTAAAACTATGATACAGCATTCCTACTATTTAATTTACATGGCTAATCTTTACAGTTTCTATTAAGATCTTTTCTGTGAACAATTTAATATGTTCAACAGTTTATATCATATTGGTTATTTACAGAAATATATACGGTCAAGTCAATCCGAAACGATGGCGCACGTATTGTATTTGACGTTTAATATGAATGAAATAAAATTAAATGCCGTTCCGGCACTTACTTCAACTTGACAAATCTTAAATCGGTCTGGTCAAATTGTCTAAATTAAATCAAGATAATACATCTAGAAAGGGAGAAAATTCATACGCATACGCATAGGCATACGCGTGAGCGACTGAAAGAATACTCAATGTATACTTGCGTTTCGTCAATTTCAATTACAAATTTCTAATCGCGCGGAGACAAAACTGTATGCGATACAACAAATGGTAGAAAATAGCAGTCCCTTCATCGCGGACGCGCGAATTCTATGAGTATTTTGGCAGTTCAAATTTCGACGAAACGAAATAAAGGTGTCTGCCTTTTATTTGACTTGCGCGGCAATTTTCTTACAAATTTCATTGGTATACTCGCTGCACTTTGCAGTGCCGCCTAAATCACCAGTTAGATACTTTGCTTCCTTGATAGTGTCGTAAGCAGAATGTTCGATGATCTTGGCATGGTTACTCAGGCCCATGTACTTGAGCATCATCACCGCGGAGAGCAACAACGCTGTGGGGTTTGCCTTATCTTGGCCGGCAATATCGGGTGCAGTTCCATGTACCTACGTTAATAAAATTGATCATCTCTTATAAAGTAAAATTAATATATATCCAATTACTTCACAAACTTCAATTTAAAATTTCATCTTTACACATTCATTTCATGAATGGTTATACCGATTCAAACAAGGCTCCGTTCAGACCAATGTTTCCGCTTGGAGTCAGACCGAGACCTCCGACGAGTCCAGCGCACATATCAGATAAAATATCACCGTACAAATTAGGCATGACGAGCACGTCGTATTGACTCGGATCTTGCACCATGTTTAGGCAAACTGTGTCCAAGTACCTCTCCTCGAATTTGACCGATGGAAACTTTTGGGCTGCTTCTCGACAACATCTCAAGAACAAGCCATCCGACATTCTCATGATATTCGCTTTATGTACAGCAGTAACCTATAAATAAATTTTAATCAATTTGATCTGATCAAATATTTACTCTAATATATTCTATCGTTTGATGATAATACTTTGAGTGCCTTACCTTTTTCCTATTATTGTCTGTAGCATATTGAAAAGCAAATTCTGCTACTCTACGAGAGGCCTCCTCCGTGATTAACTTGATGGACTGAACGACGCCTTCTACAATTTCATGTTCTATACCAGAGTATTCACCTTCTGTATTTTCTCTGATTGTAACGACGTCGACATTATCGTACAATGTCTTGTATCCCTCCAAAGATCGACATGGTCGCACATTGGCATATAAATTAAATTCTCTGCAAATATTTGTAAACGGATAAATGAGATACGACATGCATATTTTACTTTCCAAGAGAAACAAGCGGTAAGATATATATTTAGAATCAACCGCCCGCGCTCCTCTTATCGCGATATTATGATTATGTAAGCATGCATGCATGCATTATTTTGGACAACTGTTTTAAAAATTCAACTGATATATACTCGCGTATCTCGCGTATTTAATTTGACTTACGCATATATATATGTATATACTTGATTGTACATAAATTCTGAGATGCTTACTTTCTGAGTGCAAGATTGAGAGATCTGTGACCTTTTCCAATTGGAGTCATTAGAGGTCCCTTAAGACCAATTTTATTCCTATTGACGGAATCGATGGCTGCTTGTGGTATACCAAACTTGCCATCTGGACCTTTTACTGGCGTTACATCAACTGATTCCCATTCTATTGGCACCTGGTTTTTTTTCAGACAAATTAAGAAAACAATTATTGTAAAAGATAAAAACAAGTAGGTACAGCAAGTACATTGAAATAAAATGCATTAGGATATTGAAGTGAAAATGCATATATATCTATATCAATAATATATCCAAGAGTATCAAGTGCGTGTATATTATTAAAAGAGATTATAAATTGAGTAATCATCATCAAGCTGTTAAATCTCTCTGATTATAATAAACTGATTATAATAATCAATGATAAAAAAAAGATGTTTTTAGTCAAGAGAAAATATATCCTCATAACATATCCTCTTCTATTCTTTACTCAAGTCGGATCAGGACATAAAAACAAGACCTAGATCTAAATACAGAACCGCTTAACACCAAGTAGGAAATCAGTCAATCTTGTTGCTTTAGTCAAAAACGAATATATCTTACTTTGGCGGCATCGAAGATTTTTTGTACGGCAGTGGAAATCTCGGGTCCAATGCCATCTCCAGGAATAAGAGTGCATTTATGTACCTTGCTGCTATAAAGTCGTGCACCAGTGATTTTTGAAGAGATCTGTTGGCACATGTCAACATATATATGGTTTAAATAAATGATCGAAAACAGTACAACTCCAGCAAGACTGATTCTCCATGCCTCGAGTAAGGAATGCTCTTTATTTACGTCGACCTGATAATGATCGCGAAAATTATTTCAAAAAAACTCGCCGAAATTATACCGATAAGAATATAATATCCAATTTCTCAATGCAAAGGAGAGAATCATCAAAGTAAAAAACGGAGAGCCGGACGGAATTAGAACATTAAGCTATATCATAGAAGAACAGTGACAGAGATAGATGCATGTGGGGAGAGAGAGAGAGAGAGAGAGAGAGAGAGAGAGAGAGATATGCGTAGATATAAGAGCAAAGACGAGATGGAGGATAATGTGCGATGCGATCCGCGAGGAGTTCTAACCTTTCTCAGGGGTAGGAGGATGTACTACAGGGGTGCGAAGTAATTACGCACGGTAGTTCCTTGGAAAATTTCACGAACAGTGTAACTCGTCATCCCTACTTACTGCTGTACGAATCCATTGAGCTGCCATCACGTCGACAATGTGATTGATGCGAACAGAGATATATAGCTTGCGTTCGCTGGTTCGCTCGCGCAACTCGCTCTGTTCGCACAGAGCTCGCGTCTGCTCGCGTTGGCTTGCGTTGTGTCGTTCGCGTCGCGCGCAGTTTCTACAATCTCTACGTAATCCAAGATACGTATCATATCGAGTCATGTCTTGTGATGTGATTGGCTGTGCGAGCGGTACTAGTACTTTCCCGTAGCCATACCATACTTTCGTATTCCCATTTTCCCGCTACAACGGGATGCTTCATACATCCCTCTTCAAATTTATGGCTTCTGCATCTGCACACTGCTGCATACTGATGACCGGACAGTGGACGTTCCATCCGATCATCCGATGTGGAAACGCTAGTGTCGCCAGATATTTTTCGCCAAGAGTAGCGAATGATGGCACTCAAGTAAAGGCCCGAAGTAGTAAAGAAAAAATTGTCATTTTTCAGAACAATATATAAGATATATAATATTAAAAGTATGCGTACTTATTTATACAGCATTTATATAATAAAAAATTACAAATTTAATAATATATTATCGAAATATTTACGTTAATAATCGCAAATCTTTATTAAGATTTCTTATAAATATATTAACATATCAACTTATCTAAAACCACACTCCAGTATATTCCAGTATAATCTGCAATTTCTGATAGATCGAAATCTTAATATTTATTCCTATTTCTAAGATTTCTTTGTGCACAGCTCCTAAAATGGATAGGATGGAATGGCATTCGGATGAGAATCTAAATACAATCCTGTCCTGCGAGTGATTGAAAATCAAAGGATAACAATAGGATACTAGACTGGCAAGCTGTAGATAAAAAAGACGATTGAATCTTATATCTTTAATGAAAATATTGATTAAAGCAATAAACATTAAGTTATTTAGAAACATTAATAGAAACATAGAAAACGCATGTAGGAAATAAATTTTATATAAATTTATGTATAAATAATAGAACTTGTAATATTTATTATGTAGGTGGTGACTGATCTTCAGACTTGTCAATTTTCTTCTCCATACTCTTGTGTTTCTTTTCTTTCGGTTCCCATAAACTGTTCCTCATAAATCTTTTAGCAACATTTATATCGACACGTGGCATAAGTGTATTTTTATCATTGATTTGTTTCGCTCGTATCATCGCTTTTTTCAATCTCTCATTTTCTAATCTAATTCGATGCTTCGACGGATCGATTCCTATAATCAATAATAATTCATAATCAATTTAATAATGTATGATGGCAATTAATTTATATTTTGAAAATTAGAATTTTTACGTACCTTCGGCTTTCAAGTACATCCAAAACAAACTATTAAGACTATAAGATAATAACAAGTTATATTTAATTTTGTCTGCATTGGGAAGTTTATCGAACATCGAAGGATCGCCAACCAATTCTACCATATCCTGGATTTTGAAGGCTGCTTCACTGAACTGTTTCAGTCTAGCAATTATGTCTGCGTCGTGCGAAAGCTCTTCAAAATCAGCATCCATTTCTTTCGTCAATCAATTTATTTTTCAAGTGACGAGTAATGTTTTGTCCTTTCGCTTTACTATTAGTTACATAACCTCAATTTTTCCAATCTCACCGTCTTCATTTTTTACCTCTGCTAAAATAAATACAATAATTTTTTTTCATCTTCGAGATTTTTCAATATAGATATCCATTCTTTTCGATATACATAATATATACATACATAATTTTCTTCAATATTACTCTCGTCTGGCTTTGATTTTGTCACACTCTCCTTTAACTGCTTTTAACTTTTTCTCTTGCATTCCAATTGAACATAACCTAAAATAACTGGTTAGGAAAGAATCCGTCTTTGTTATTTTTTATATAATTATTTTTTATATAATTATTTTAATATAAGTACACATATACAACTTTATTACATATTTATTATAAATTGTATTAACAATCATTTTAAATAATCTATCATCACACATTAAATCAAATGTTTATTTTTCATATATTCTTTTTTATATAAAATCGAAATTCACATTTATGAGTTAGCTAGAGAATTGAGAGAGAGAGAGAGAGAGAGAGAGAGAGAGAGAGAAAGAGTACAAATTAATAATAGAGAAAAATGGACATTTTACGAATTTATTTCTTTCCTCTGACAACGATTAAAGTTCCTAGTGAAAATTTTTCTCAGAATGTTTCATATAATTTTTTAGAATTTCTATATAATTTTTCAGAATTTCTCTATAATTTTTATAACTTTCTCACATTTTTT